CTCTAACACAGCGTTTTGTTTGCAAATAATTCCAGTATTGATTGCATTGAAAGGTCACGTCTTCTCCTTCATTATAACGAGATTTGTCTGGCATTAGACGCGATCGGATCGGACGCTCCGGTCGGCCACAGAAGCCGTTCACTTCAAATCCTATCACTTCATTCAATTCATACAAAATACAAACTATTGCTAAAACTTTTGCAAAACTCATTATTCAATAAACAGTTAGAACTTCTGTTAGAAAATACTTATAGAATTTATTCTTATAATAAAATGCTATCGCTTTTATACTAGAGGATGCAATCAACATCCTCTCTCTCTCTCTCTCTTAGCGGATAATAAACTTTGAATGCCATAAAAGTAAGGAAAACATCGATACGCTATCAGATTCTTATAAAACTGATTATTTATTTAGCGTTTGAATATTCCAGTGATTTGTATAATACTTTGCAAAATATAATATACAGTAGTATTAATAAATGCATAAAACAGTCAAATCTTTTTATATGTAACAAATCATAATCTGATAGTGAAGTGAAAAACTGGTTAAAATTGTCAAAAAAATATTATATAAAAGAGAATTGAAATGTGAATTAAGTTTCAAAGTTAGCGCTCATTAAACCATTTCATACAGAATTGCATTGAAAGCAGTGATCGATTGAATGCACATTTGATTGCATCGCTTTACGGCTCCCTATCTATCGGTTCAATGTTTTACTACCGATTCACACGAGTGCCGGCCATCGCATCCCATCCACACAACTATTACTATTTATTGCACTCAATCACCCCTTTTGTGAACAAATTATAATTATATTGAAATTTACATCAATTGATCATGGTTCATACAGTTTCTGATCATAATAAAGTTTTATAATAACTTTATCTTACAAATAAAATGTGTAATTTTAAAACACATAATTAATAATTATTCTTTCATAGTATCCCTCCTTTAAGAGATGCCTTCCCTCTCCCTTTCATTGACTGCAAACATGCAAAACATGACAACATTACAAATATGAACACATTTTTAGTAAAATTAATTAAAATAGTCAAACAATTAACTGAATAAATAACTGATTGAATAAACAGATGATAAGCGATATTTAACTAACAGTAAAGTGTTAGTAATGGTTGCATAAGATGTGCATAACATATGAGTACAGTGTCTATGAATGGCACGAATGGTGTGTATAGTTGTGTTGATTGAGTGTTGACTCACTTATGTATTGAATCATTGAATCAAACAAAACATCAAAACATTTGTCAATTGAATTGTGATTACAATTGAATTGAATTAAACCGCAAATCGTATGATTGGCTCATATATTGAGTCCATATATAAAGTGTGTGTAATTATAATCACTTAATAATCGCAACAATAATAATAATAACCATAAATACTTACCATAAGTGTTGATAATGACGGCAATGGATAACAATCCGATGAGACGCCTGTCGTTAGTATTGTTTATGATTTAATGAATTAATTATACGATTATATAATTGATAAATGATATGACAATAACTGATCGCAAACTCTACCCTCACTGCAAACCCAGGGCTACGGGAGACTCGCTGTACATCATATTAGGCGTCCCGAAGACCGCCACCGGAGATGACATCAAGAAGAGTTACCGCAGAGTATTGACCAAAACATTACTTCACTATTACTCGCACTAAACAATAGTCCCTTCAATTCATAGTTACCCATAACTATCACACATTTATTGACACTTCTCTGTCTCCCTGTGCCTACCATTCTATGCCCGACCCGTGTATGTGCTGTCAATCGCACGTGTGTTTCGCGGTTACACTATTGACACCGCATTTGCGCATGTAATTTTGTTGAGTAAGAGATGTGATAATAACGGGTGTAAAAATAGTTATCAATATAACTCAAAATCTATATCAAATGAGAAAAAATAAAGTATATGAATAGTAACTTTGTGTAATATTCACTTTATTTAATCGATTTTTATATTCAAACAAATTATAATATTAATAGAGTTTTAAACACAAATTTAATATAACACACTATCTCTGCATTTATTTAGTTTTTTGTAAATATTTTGTTTTATTTGTTTGCATTTTTACCTACATTTTGATTCCCTCACAATTTCAACAATTAGACATTTAACGAAATGATATTTTAATCATTTATAATATGATTGCAATTTACATTATAAAGTAAACAAGATCATAATATATTATATAGTAATTGGATCAAATTACTTGTTACTCGAGTTATCTTAATATAATTCATAACTGTTCAACAGTGATCGAGAATTTAATTGAATTAAAATGAAAGGTTAGCAAAATAACTAAATGACGTTATAAATAATCTGTAAACTAATTAATAATTAATTATCAATTTATTATTTAATAATAAGCATTTAAATAAATAAATAGAAAAGCCATTAATTATATGGGTTTATAATTGAAAGCGAAAGAAATATTTAGTTAAACTGTTAATGTAAACTGTGAGAAGAGGTTTAGATAATAAAATTAACTGAAATATTCACAACTATTATGTTTACAAGTGTTGGCCCGGAATTCTCATTTTCAGCTGCAAATTGTATAAACAAACAGTTTTAACACATTTTGTTCTCAAATTATAAAAGTTTAAATTTATATAAAATATTTGAATTGAATTGAAAGGGAATGGTATGTAATAACTGGGTGTTTGTATATGTATTATAGTTAGCCCTGCGCTTCCATCCGGACAAAAATCCCGATAACTTAGAGGCGGGCGAGAAGTTTAAAGACATAAACAGAGCGAATACTATCCTATCGGACGTAACGAAGCGTAATATTTACGACAATTACGGCTCTCTTGGCCTCTATATAGCGGAACAGTTCGGCGAAGAGAATGTCAACACGTATTTCGTTTTGACCAGTGGTTGGTGTAAAGCTATCTTCTTCTGCACAGCAGTCTTCACGTGTTGTTACTGTTGTTGTTGTCTTTGCTGTTGTTTCAACTTCTGTTGCGGCAAATGTCGACCAAAACATCCCGAAGAGGATTACGTTCCAGATTTGGTTTGTCTAGACTCTCTCTCTCTCTCTCTCTCTCTCTCT